CAATTGTAACTCCGGTATACAGAAGATACATCAATCCAAATATATAAACAACGACTTCAGGCAATTTTCGGTGCTCCATCAAAATTGTTAGGGAAAATACAATTGGAACTCAATTTTCACGATTTCACGATGAAAACCAAATGCCTTCGCTAAAAATCCGATCTACCGTTTCAGCCCTAATCTCGATGACCCAGAATTAGTTTGACGTAAACTCCAATACCGGACGAAATGGAGTCCATATTACTTTCTTGGATTTCAAAAAAGCTTTTGACCTTGTTGACCATAGAATCTTGTTACCAAAATTAGCGAAAATGAATGTATCAAAGACTTTCTGGACATGAGTGAAGTGCTTTCTTACGGAGTGGACTCAACAAGTGAATTTGCATGGTGTTATGTCTTCAAGCGCCCCATGTCCAGCTGGAGTTCCGCATGGCTCCGTCATTTCCCCAACTCTATTGGATATTCATGTAAATTATTTGGAAGACACGTTAACAAACAACAACCCTACAAACACACACAAGTACGCGGATGACTGCACCAATGATGAAGTCGTTGCAAACGGAGCCCTCTCACACATGCACGAGTCGACAGCAAAGGACATGTACCTGTAGATCCGTTTTTCCCAATCCTCTCCTGAACCCCACCCATACAAACAGATGGAATTGAAATAGAAAGAGTATAAACACATTCAAACTTCTTGGTTATGGGTGCAAAACTACTTAAAGTGGAACACCCATGTTCGCAAAATTACAAAAAAGCAAATAAATTATCATTCCTTCTTCGAGAATGTAGGAAATCCTCCCTACCACCCAGGATTGGGCTACTGACATACACGACAAAGATTCGGCCAATACTTGAATATGTTTTGCCAGTCTGGGGGATCCCTAAATATCTCGAAACAGAAATTGAACGTGTTAAGCAATGAAGCCTGAGAATCCTAGGACTGGAGAAAGATACCCAACTAACTAACACTAAAAGAAAGAAGGGAAAAGGCAACATGCAACGAGCTGAAAAGAATCGTGGAAGTCATAAACAACAAATGTAACCGTTATCTAGGCAACAGAAATAATCAAGCATACGAACTGGGAGGACTAGAGATAGTTTTCCAAGACAGTCCTGAAAAACACACAGACATAGTACGTCTTTTATTCCAAGGGCGTGTACATTATCAAATTTATGAATATTTTTACTGTATATTGTATTTAAAAAGTTACTTTTTCAACTTTCAATTTTTTACACTTTTCAATAGGCTTACATATTTATGTATTTATTTATTTTCCGTTGTAAATCCATTGTATTTCTATGTCAGAGGTGGATATTGAAAAAATTAGAAAAAAAAACAACTAGTCCGGCAGCATTAAAACGTACGGTTTTGGTTTGATCCATCTCCCTTAACTTCCTGTACGCAGCACACAATACCGTGTTGGTACACAAATCTAGGATGTACTTTCCAATACATCTCCCCATTTTCAAAATTCGGAGAGACAAATTCGTCAGTCTGCATACACAAAATATGGTCGCCCGTAGTTCAGCTTCATTTTTAATATTCTTTAACCATACGTAGTTTCGCCAGTTTTTGATGTGCATGCAGGGCACATCGGATGTAGACAACCGCTTTCACAAAAAGCAACAAAAGCTTTCGTATACAGGTGACAGTTAAACTTCTTCCGAGCAAAATAACTCTAGCTACGTTTTTGTCTACAGAACCAAAATGTGCCATGCTTCGTTGCGAAGAGGATGCAGATTATCAATGTAGACACTCCATTGCTCTGGTAGCGAAATGACGTTTAAACAAATGTGACTGAAATTTATACGGACACTTAGCTTAATGATTGCTTCTCCCAAACATGCCCAATCTTGTTATATATCTATTATAAGTTTACCGTTCTCCGCCTTCCCAAAATATCCGGCTCGAAAATATCACCTAATATTATACTATTCTTTGATCCTGATCGAATCAAGTTTCACATACATTTATGGGACATTACGTTGTAAGCGCATTCAGATTTAATGGAACAATTGCTCTCCTGCCAGCTAACTGAGCTAAGAATTAAGAGTAGACAGAGACAGCTTTTGTGTGGGAGAATGGGTTATGGGGGTGAAGTACTCCTGTTACAATAAGTGTCACATTATATGTATATTTTACCCAATAGACTCTTTATGGCCTTATATTTCATCCTGCGGGGTATATATAAGGCTTGCTCTGATAACCCTAGGGGTAATGGTCCCTATAGGGCTGCCCTGGGGGTAAGGGTCCCCAGAGCACATGCCAGAAGGGTAGCGACCCTCTCTGACCTTATTAACCTGAACCAAGGGGTAAGGGTCCCTTGGACAGTTCCTATAACTCGGCCGATTATATTTACATTGAATGAGTCTATGGGCATGAAGGTGACCTTTGGGAGCACTTCAACCCCAAACCATTAAATATTTTATTGCAATAACTTCAATAATTAATAACAACAATTATTAATGCTCTACTGTTTTTGATCAATATGTATATATAATATATAATACATCATGCACCGTGACAGTGTACTCCAGTGATGGTGTTATCTCCAATAATAGTGTTCTCCTTTGGTAACGATTTCCAGTAATAGTGATCTCCAATAATGATGTTCTTCCATGACAGCGTTCACTATAGGTGTTTTCTGTAACCCTTAGGAGAAGTGGTGGGTGGGTGAGAAAATGTTACAGTAGCTTTGGACCATTACTTTGTTGAGACTTGAGACTTTGAAACAAGTGATCTCTTCCAGGCGTATTTGGTCTATTTTACTCTCTTAACCGAATTATGATTGGTTACATGTTTTGATGCCATCAAAGATATATTTCGATTGGCTGAAAGATAATTGGTCATGAGATGTGCACGTGTACGCTTTGCCAATACAAAGATGACCTTTGATACAAATGACAGCTGTGGGTCTGTGAACTTTGTACCGCACGCAAAATATTCAAATCGATTGTCATATAAATTAGACAAAATTTGTGGACAGCATTGCCCATTAACTTAAATTTATAATATATATAAATGAGCTTAAAATTTTCCCTTTTTAAGTTAGCATGTAAATTAAAGTACTTCTAGTTCGATTACCAAAGACCAAAGATCACATGAGATAGCCTACTTAGAAAAGCACGAAAAACCGACAAGGAAATCGATTGGTCTGCCTATAAAAGGAAACGAAACTCAGTAAATAACTTACTGAAATCTGCAAAAAAACAATTACGAACTCTCTGAGGAAAATGCCTCATCCCCAGAAAAATTCTGGAAATGCATAAAACAGCTATTTCCTACAAAAAATGAAAATGGGAATACATGCTCATCGATGGTAATAGACGGGGAGAAGGTACTCGATAAACAGGTCATAGCAAATGGTTTCTCTTATCACTTTTTCACCACTGCTGGAATTTTGAAAGAAAAGGTGTCACTTCTTAAAAGTACCGTTTGGGCCCAACCTGTCCCTGATAAATATAATACAAACTCTGTTTTCAAATTTACCCATGTTTCTGTACCGAGAGTGATGAAACATCTAAAGAGCCAAAGAAGGCAACTTGGCTAGATGATATACCACCTTGCTAACTTCAGGATGGAGCAACACATATAGCGAAGCCTCTAGCATATATCATAAATAGATCATTAGCGACAGGAATTGTGCCAACAGAATTCAAATGTGGAAAAACAGACCTATCACTATATTCAGGGACGTCGCGAAGACATCAACATTGGGGGGGGGGGGGG